CCAAAGTGTTAAAATTACAGGCATGACCCACTGTGCCTGACCCGTTTTTACTTATTTTAAATAAACCTATTTGCTATATATTTTAAGATTGTTTCCATTTTGCTTTCATACACATTATTTGGAGTTTTATGACTTAAGAGAAATAACTTTTGGAATGAAATAATATATCTAAAATATTGCTTAGGTGTACAAGATGAGGATGCCATGTGTTTATTTTGGGGGTAGACAATGGGGAAGGTTAACAATAAAAGAATTTTAAAAAGTTGAGGCTCTAACTTAAGCTACTAGAGGATCTACTTTTCTTTGATGAGTAATATATTTTATTTTGATATTTAAATACACAAAGGAACAAATTATTCCCATGTTGAAAGGTAAGATACAAGGCAATAGATGCTCATATTTTTGTATCTAATTCTTATTTCTGATCAGTAGCATTACTGCTGTGCCATTTAATTATATTGTACTTTCTTTGAAAGCTTAATTTGTATGTTGACACAAATACAGAATAGATGAGAAAATTTGGCATGTCTGTGAATGTTTTGTTGTATAGTAAACATTGTGCTTTTCTTAATTGTTTTTAACATGCAGTTAGGATAATTTGTTATAAATGTATTTATGGCTTACCACAACATATTAGGTAAAATTAACTTTCAGCATTTTATCATGGTTAGTGTTGTGCAGTTCCCCATCATTTGTATTATGTAATTTGTATCTCTTATAAAATACATCCTAAACTGTTGGGCTGCTTTGGTGCTTCATGGAGTAGAAGGATATCGAATGTGAAAGAGACCAGGAGTTTTGTGGTAGCAGAATAATCTTGTAAAAGACTACCTTGGGAATTAATGAGTACGCTGTCATTCAAAATTCATTCAACAGATATTTATTGAGTCCCTACTCCATGCTAGGCATGGTGCTAGATACTGAAAATACAAAAGCAAGATGGTTTTTGACTTCCAGCTGCTGTTAAAGCAAAGGGTAGTCGCTTACCAGAGATTTTTGATTAGGGAATTCAGACACTGACTAGGGAGCTATACTAGGCAATCTTTAGGATTCCTTTAGAACCCCTTGTCTGTAACTCTGTTAGTAGGTTAGTGGTTGAGACTAGAAAATAAAGAGTAGGAAGTAAGAGGGATGGCTTTTTAAAAATAAACAAATGTGCTAGCAGTTATTTAAGGTGGTGTCTGAAGTTAGAGACAAATAGAAATAAAGAGATGCTGGATTGGGATCATGAATAAAAATAAAACTCTTACAAATCAAACTGTAGGGTTTTGAAATGAACTTGATCAAAATTGAGTCAGATTTCAAGCCAAGGTGTTTGAAGAAGTTTATAATTGCTTGATATTCTGAAGATTTGAGATTCCAGTATCCATACTAGGAAAAACTTACATATGTAAATCAATTTTGGTAATTTTAATTAAAAAATATGGAAACAATTGATTTCTTGGGCACTATACCTAGAATTGTTTCAGATATAAGACTTCCTTAAAGAGAAGCTTTCTTTATTTCCCAAATAATAAGTTTAACAGATGACATTTAAAAAAGAAATTTTCATTTAATTCAAGCTGATCTTAGATTTTGTTTATTTGTTAGAGTGAACGTAACACCTCTTTGGTCAGACAGGGTTGAGATGCAAAATATTCTGTCCATTAAGCTTTTTAAGCACTATGTATTTTTAAAAACTAATGTTTTTCACAGATTCTAAAATGTCTTAAATAGTTTTGACTCTAAGTGGATAAAGAATGTAATTTAACTTACGTCATGTTGATTCAAGACTTCTTAAATATCAATTACTATACTTAGTTTAGTTGGGGATAGGGGACAATTGAGATATATTAAATTATTTTTCCTGGCCTATGCAAAGTCCTCAGATTGTCTTGCTTTTTGAAGCAGTTTTTGTGTTTGCGTCTTGTAATTTTCTTCTCTTCTTAGGCTGTCAGCTGTCACCTAGCATCTATCATTTAGTATTTTCATTGCCAAAAGTCAGCTCCCTTTCTAATTTACTCTTAGAACTAAGCTGTATGTTGAGAAACTATGTGAACAAGTGATTGGTTTATAAATAAGCAATTGAATTTGCCCAGATTCTTTATTAGATCAGAATTCTAAGGTTTATTTGAATCTTTAAAATATTTGATCATGCTTGTGAGATTTTTAAAAGACAATTCTATTCTTATGTATAGTTTACAAGGCCTCACTGAATACTCAACTTATAAATCTGTTTAAAATATTAGTTTAAAATTCTTTAAAATTATTCTTTAATAATTGAAAAATTTTGAGGTCTTGTTAGTCTTTCAAATTCCTTGCCCAATCTATATTCTTAAAAATATAGATCTCCTACAAGTTACCATATTTTATTTTTGGCCTTTTATATTTGGCCTTAAATTGTCAACTGATTGATTAAGTTGTGTAATGTGTGTTCCAGGAGCTGTTTTCTTTGTTTTCAGCCTGTTTTGGAGGGGCGGGCAGTGGTTGGTTACCTGTTAGGTCTCTCCTAAATTTCTTCACCCTCATTGGTTTTCTCCATTAGCAGAATTTCCTAATCAAACCATGGACAGTTTAGAATTGCTTTTGCTTTAATGACAACTGCGTAACACCAAGATATCTGTTTCCTTTACATTCCTTAGTCTAGTTGGTTGTGAACTGGGTCCCAACCCTGATATTGGGACATCCGGCAAAACAGCTTTCCTAATTTCTTGGTGTTTAGTTGCTGTCCCCTGTGTGAGGTTTTGTTTGTTATTGAGTGAAGATGTCATTCCCCTGCCTGGTTGCAGAAGGGATTGGAGCCTCTCAGAGGCAGGGTTCAGAGGAATATTGAGTTCTCATTTTTGTCTTATCCTTCTTTTAACTCCTTCTTAATCCCATTCTCTCTCACTGTACTGGGTTTGTCAGTTAACCTCCTCTCTTCATTGCTCTCACCCTAACCATGCCACCTTTCAGCTCCTCTCTCCTTCTTCCGCTAGTGGGTCTTGCCCCTCTGTTGAGGTGTTCTTTTTCCGCAAGAGCAGGGTAATTACTGTAATATGAAATATGTGGGGAATGAAGTATAAAGCAAACCAAAATAAGGGAGAAGTTAGTAACCATAGGTCATTTATTCTTTTTTCCTCCCTCAATTACTGAACCTCAGTTATTTTCTAATCTATGAAATGGAGATAATGATACCTACTTAGTAGAGGGTATTTGTTAGAATTAAGAATGATGTACAAAGTTCTTACCAGGTATTAAGTTGCCAGTTACCTGTCTCTTTTTCCTTTATTTTCAGTTATAGTTCCTGCTTGGGCACTAAAAATGCTTTTCGTATTTATCAGGAATTAATAAGTGTTAACAAACAAAGTGGTTTTGAGTTTAGTTTGGCAAAATATTTCTTGCTGTAGAATGCTGTCTAGTTAATATGCTAAAAAATACTGTAGGGCTGGAGTATACTCTAGCTGATTGTAACAGCAAGAGTAAGAAATAGAACTTCCCAATGCTATACATTTGCAGAGTAATATTATTTATTTTTTAAATTTTTGGGATTTTTTTTGAAGGAGAATTTTTATTTTTATGTACAGAAAACTGAACAGTATACATTTAACCCAGTTGAGTGGCAGGTTCTTTGGCCTTTGCTTTTTCCAACTTGACAATTCGAACCACAGATTTTGAACCCAGAACTGTTGCCTCTGCAATGTCAACAGATCTTATCGTATTTGTCATTGTAATTGGTCCTGATATCTTCCACCAGCTTAATCAGACCTCGTTTGTTTTCCAAGTTAACCTGCATGAAAGTGATAGTGGTATAGGTCTTCCTGTGGACTAGACACCCCAGTCTGGCCTTCCCTTTGATAATGCAATAAGGGACTCCTAGCTCTGATACCAGGCATGCAGGAAGACAACCAGCTTGATGGGATCCACTTCATGTGCAGTTACCATCAGCTGAGCTTTCTTGATCTTATCAAGGTGGTGACAGTAATAATTCCTGCTTCAGGACAGATAGTCTCTTAATGGGGACATCCCCTTTGCCAGCAGCTTTCTTCTCACCCTGGACCAGTGATCTCTGCTGCTTCTCTTGCTTTGTCTCTCATCTTTTCTTGTGGGTCAGTTTAAGTGGTTAAATGCTGTTTAGCAGTCCAAGACCTGGGTGAACTTGTTAATCACAGGAGGCACTTTTTAGCTGCTTATAGAGGCAGTCTCTTTGCTGCTGCAATTGGATGTAGCTGGGCCATTTGACGGAGTGAGTGAATTACCTTTTGGGCTGGATATACTGTCCAATGCCAAAGTTCTTAGGCTTTTTCTCAACTAGGAGATTTACTTCCTTCTTGGCCTCCTGCTTCTTCATGACAACCGGGGCCAGGGCCACCTTCTGTCCCTTTGCCTATTTTCCTTTTGGCATCTTGAGTGGCTGGAGGAGAGCTATTATTTAAAGTAGATTCCGTAACTATGAAATTTGATGAGATAATTCCTGGTAATCCATGTTAACATGCATATTAACATGTTATTAACATGCATATTAACATGTGTGGTGGCTCATGTTTATAATCCTATCACTTTGGGAAGCCAAGCTGGGAGTATGTCTTGAGGCCAGGAGTTTGAGATCAGCCTGGGTAAGAGGAAGACCCTGTTCCTACACAAAATTAAAAAATGAACCAGACATGGTGGCATGTGCCTGTAGTACGAGCTACTTGTGAGGTTGAGGTCAGGAGGATTGCTTGAGACTAGGAGTGTGAGTTTGCAGTGAGCTATGATGATGCCACTGCACTCTAGCCCAGGCAACACAGCGAGACCCTGTCTAAAAACAATAACTACTATAAAAACCATGCATTGTGATGTTCTTGTGATGGGACAGTTCATATGGCTGTCTCTTAAGTTTCAAGTGACTGGACATGGTACTTTAAGGAAAGACTGCCTTATTAGAAAATGACTCATTTAATGTAACTCTTCATCATGTGGCCCAGTTGAGTTGACTTGTAAAATTAACCATCACATTTTCCCCCACAATAAACATTTTCTCTTCCATATTTTTTCTACAGGCAGATGCACCACCAGGAATGGAGTTACAGTCATGGTATCCTGTTATAAAGCAGGAGGGTGACCATGTTTCTCAGACACATTCATTTTTACATCCCAGGTGAGTTGGTATTCATTTGCTTTTCATTCATGAATGCATTCATTCATATTCATTCAACAGCTATATGCCACATACTATTCTAGGACCTGGGGAAATATTTTTTAATTTCAGGCTTTCTTGTTAATTATAGATTATGTTTAAAAATTTAAAGTTGTTTTAAAATAAGTACATTGGGTTTAATATATTTTGCTTATTATTACAGGGAAATTATAGGAGAATTATATTGTTTAGTCATTCTTACTAGAAAAATTCAAAGAAAGAATATAAAGTAAGAGGAATTATAAATTGTATTGAATATTTGAGATAACTTTTATGTGGTATTTCTGTTTTTTCTAAAAAAAATAGGTTGTTTTCTTTTTGTCCTGAAGTAAAAAAAAAAAAAGAAAGTTCTTTAATTTCTTTACTTTTCTTCAGGAGGTAAGCCAACTTTTCAGGAGTTCACTGTGCAACTTTGATATTGTAAAAAGAAATTCTTTTGAAATTAGAGCTTTCATAATAACCATACTTCTTAAAATCAAGTATTTACATTTTCAATAAAAGTACACCATAGATTATAAGCTTTTTATTTGTTGATCCCTAGATTTTTATCTGCTGCTATAAATCTATGTTCTCCACAAGCATGGTGAGGATTCTCAGTCTTACTAGTTACATTTGCACAGTTACTACCATACCTATTGTGTTTGAAGTATGTCTTTTGGGCACTATTAAACCTGTCAGTTTTCTTAGCAGAAAACTGAGTTTTGGGCCCCAAAATTTATGTGGTTGATAAAGGGAGACAGTATAGATGTCCTGTACAAAGACAGGACATGAGATGTAAGAGGAGATTTTTTGGAGTTTAAGGGATGAAGTGTTACATCAGTTAAATGGTTGCATCTTTTTGCTAAAGGTTACTCAGAATATAGTTACAAATATGTTACAAAATAAGTTACAAAAAACTTAAATATCTGCCTCAAATTTGTTTCATGATCCTCTCAGATAATCTACAGAGCAATTTCATATAAGTTTGTAGCAAAATTGGTAGTTATCTCTTCAATCTTAATTTTGTACAATTTATTATTTCTCTTACCAAATGAATAGAAAGTATTAAAATATTTTAAGAAGATTGCTCAGTGGGGTTTGATACAGGGAGAACTGCCCAGTAGCTGGGCAGCATTCAGAGTGCCTGTTCTCTCTCTGAGCTATGTAAGAAGGGCCCTGAGAGCTCCTCATTGGGCCTATTGTGAGCCGGCCATGGCCATGCAGTGTGTGACTGAAGCTGCCTCACTATAGCAGAGGGCCAGATTCCCCTGCTTTGGAGAGGTATTGGGCAAGAAAGCAGTCCTCTAAAGTAGCTACAGTTTGTATTCTGTGTGGAATAAACGGTGCCTACTTAGGGCTGTCTAACAGCTTTATAAAATGCTTCATGCTTTTAGTCCTCAGGTGGCTTTGAGGGAAGGGAAAGAGATTATGATTTTCTTTCCAGTGAATATCTTTTTAGTGCTTAGAAATTATTTGCAAAGCAACAAAAATCCCTCATAATTTCATACTTAATACCTAAAGTGCTGATTTTTTCCAATAATTTTTTTCTGTGACCCTTATTTTCTGAGTTGTAATATTGTCTGGTTGGTTAAAAAAATTGAGTTTAATGATGTAAATGTAATATATGCCTTATTTTGCCTGTGTTTTCAGTTACTACTTATACATGTGTGATAAAGTGGTTGCCCCCAATGTGTCACTCACTTCTGCTGGATCCCAGTCTAAAGAGATCACAAAGACAGAAGCAAGTAAGTCCATATCAAGACAGTCGGAGAAGCCTCACGGTAGTAGTAAACACCACAAAACAGTGTCTTATCCAGATGTCTCCCTTGAGGAACAGGAGAAAATGGATTTAAAAACAAGTAGAGAATTATGTAGCCGTTTAGGTAAGTATTCAGAAATTATCATTTTAAAATTAAATATGTAATAAACACATTTAGTCCGCATTTTCAAAGAAGATTTCTGTCTAAGCTAATTTTCCAGATAATTGAAGCTTTTACCTTAAAAAATGCTACCTTTCACATTTCTTTGAACCTCAATTGCTGTACTTTTCTGACATGGTGACAGCTATAGAGGCTAATGAGATAGGTCTATAGAGGCTACCTGGCTTCACACTGCAAATAATTTTTGTTTGATTTTATTTTATTTTTTTGTCTTTTCCTACCTTTTCTTTGCTGTCAAATTTCTTCAGGTAGTCTTTATTTTTCTTTTTAATTTGCTGTGAACTGAGAAACCATTTAACTAATAAACTAAGAAATATATGTAAGTTAGGTATAGAACTCAGGGAAACTTAGTCATGCAATAAAACAAGGATTAAAAGCTCTGGGAGCCATTCATATAGCATAAATGTAAAATACTGGCTGGTCATCTGAAAAAAAAAGTGTCACTTTTCTGCCCACTTACCATGCTTTTTAAAATACTGTGGATCAAATAAGACATGTCTGCTTAAATGCTGCCTATGTTATCCTCTGCATGTCAGCACAGCTTTGCCTAGTGCTTAGGCAGTGTGACAGTTATTTTAACTGCCTTGGAACAGTTGGAGAATCCTCTAGTTATTTAACCTTTTATAGAGAATTGAGACTCTTGAGGGTTTTCTATAATTTTGAGATGTTTTGTTTTTTGTTATGTTTTGTTTTCAGAGACAGGGTCTCCCTGTGTCACCCAGGCTGGAGTGCAATGGTGTGATCACAGCTCACTGCAGCCTCCAACTCCTGGGCTCAAGTGATCCTCCTGCGTCAGCCTCCCAAGTAGCTGGGACTACAGGTGTATGCCACCAAGCCCAGCTGGTATTTTAATTTTTTTGTAGTGACAGGTTTTCACTGTGTTGCCCAGTTTGGTGTGGAATTCTTAGTCTCAAGCAGACTTCCTGCCTCAGCTTCCCCAGAGTGTTGGGATTACAGGCGTGAGTCACCTAATTAGGGCGCCTGGTTCTAATTTTGAGATTTTTAAAACTCAGTTTTCTTTGGATTTAAATATGGTAAACAAAAATTAGTAATGTACTATTATGCCATATTTGTATTGTGTTTTATTTCCCAAATTAATTAATTTTAGTGACTTTTTTAGTTTATCATACTTCTTTTTTTAAGAAGTTTTAATCTAATTTTATTTTTTTGACAAATGATAATTATACATATTCATAGAGTACATAGTAATATTTTAATATACATAATGTTTATTATGTATGATCAGGTCAGAGTAATTAGTATAATATATCCATCATCTCAAACATTTTCATTTCTTTGTGTTGAGAATATTCAGTGTCCTCCTTATAGCACTTTGAAATTATGTATTATTAATTATAGTCATCCTACAGTATAAAACACTAGAACTTATTCTTCCTTTTTAGCTATAATTTTGTATCCTTTAACAAGTCCCTTCCTATCTCCTCCTTTCCCCCACCCTGCCCTATCTCTGGTATCCTCTGCTCTACTTTTTACTTATATGAAATCAACTTTTTTTAGCTTCCACATATGAGTGTGAACATGTGGTGTTTAGCTTTCTGTCTCTGGCTTATTTCACTTAACATAATGTCTTCTGGTTTCATCCATGTTGGCGTGAATGACTCTAGTGACTTTTAAAAAATTGTTGATATAATTTACAGACCATAAAATGTACCATTTTAAAGTATACAGTTCAGTGGTTTTTAGTATATTCACAAAGTTGTGCGACCATAACACTAATTTAATTTTAGAACAATTTCATCACTCCAAAAAGTAACCCTGTAATCCATTAGCAGTTACCCCCCATATTCCTTTTCCTATAGCCTCTGACAGCCACTAATCTTTTTTCTATCTCTATGGATTTGCCTATTCTGGACATTTGCTATAAGAGGAATCATACATTATGTGGCTTTTCGTGTGTGGCTTCTTTTCACTAAGCATAATGTTTTCACAGTCCATGTTGCTGCATGTATCAGTACTTCTTTTTATGGCTTAGTAATATTCCTATGTGAATATAACACATTTTGTTTTTTCATCAGTTGGTGAATATTACCTTGTATCCACTTTTTGGCTATTATGAATAATGTTGCTGTGAATACTGTGTATAAGTTTTAGTGTGGACGTAGGAGCCTGTATGATTTTACATTCCCACTAGCAGCTTATAAAGGTTTCAATTTCTGCACATCTTTGACAACACTTGTTATTGTCTATCTTTTGAATATAGCCATCCTAGTTCTTGTAAAGTGGTGTCTCTTTGTGGTTTTGATTTGCAATTCCCTATTGAATAATGATGTTGAGTATTTTTTCATATTCTTCTTGGAGATTGCTTATCTTTGGAGAAATTTCTTTCAGATACTTTGCTTTTTTTTTTTTTTCTTTTGGGACAGAGTCTCACCGTGTTAACCCAGGCTAGAGTGCAGTGACATGATCACAGCTCAGTGTAGCCTCAAACTCCTAGGCTCAAGCTGTCCTCCTGCCTCAGCCTCCTGAGTAGCTGGCATATAGGCACACGCCACCAAGGCTGGCTACCTTTGCCTATTTTTAAATTGGGTAATTTGTCTTTTTACTGTTGAACTGTTAAGAGTTCTTTATATATTCTGGATACTAAATCCTTATCATATATGATTTGCCATTCTGTCAGTTTTCTTTTCATATTGTTAGTGTTTCTTGGAAAACAAAAGTTTTAAATTTTTATGTAGTCCAATTTATCTATCTTTCCTTTGGTTGCTTATTTTAGGTGTCATATCTAAGAAACCATTGCCTAATCCAAGGTCAGAAAGATTTACATTTAAGGGTTTTAGTTCTTACATTTAGGTCTTTGATCCATTTTGAGTTAATTTTTATATGTGGTGAGGTCCAATCTTAGTCTTTTGTATATAGGTACAATTGTCCATTTGTTGAAAAGACTTATTTTCTGATTGAATTGCTTTGTCACCTATGTTTAAAAAAACAGTTGCTTATAAAAGTATGGACTTATTTATTTCTGGACTCTGAATTTTGTTGTTACTGATCTATAGTGTCTGTCTGATCTATAGTACTGTCCTCTAGTACCACACAGTCTTGATTTCTGTAGCTTTGTAGTAAGCTTTGAAATTGGGAATTGAGTCCTCCAACTTTGTTATTCTTTTTCGAGATCGTTTTGGCTATTTTATATTCTTTACATTTTCATATAAATTTTAGAATCAGCTTTGTCAGTTTCTGCAAAAAACCACTTGGGATTTTGATAGGGATTGGCACTGAATAAGTAGATCAATTTGGGGAGTTTTTATTATCTTCATAATATTAAATCTACTAGTCCATGAACTTAGGGTGTCTTTCTATGTATTCAGATCTTTAATTTCTTTTAATAGTGTTTTGCAGTTGTCATTATACATGTTTTGCACTACTTTTGTTAAATTTATCTCTAAGTATTTAATTTGTAAGTGGAATTATTTTCTTAATTTCATTTATGAATTGTTCTAGTGACTTTTTAACAGGGTGGTATTCATACTTTATTACTTGATTATTTTTTCCTCTTAAAGATTCATCAATCTCAAATAATTCTGCAAGTAAAAAAAAGTCTGAGTCTACTGCTTGCAACTTAGTCAGAGACCCAGTCAAAGTGGGACTTGCCCATGATGCTGCAGCTTCATCTCCACTTCTTGTCAAAGATGTCATTTGTGAGGATGATAAGGGAAAAATCATGGAAGAAGTAATGAGAACTTATGTCAAACAACAAGAAAAACTGAACTCAATTTTGCAAAAGAAGCAACAACTTCAAATGGTAAAATCATTATCTGAATGATAATCTATTATTTAAAGATATTTTTGCATATTCTTAGTAAGAAAAGTCAAGATGAGATGCTATAAATGTCCTTAAGATTATTCAGACTTTTACACTGATAAGCAATTTTAAATATTTAGAGAAAATAGTTTTTCAAGATAAATATTTCCCTATAGATCTGATATGATAGTTGAATTTTAGATATTTTCTGTTCTATTTTTTCCTGAATTGAGATTTCTAACATGATGGAAATAAAATAAAAATTGTATTGTGATTCTTTATAGGAAGTGGAAATGTTAAGTAGTTCAAAAGCAGTGAAGGAACTTACTGAAGAACAACAGAATTTACAGAAAGAGCTTGAATCTTTACAGAATGAACATGCTCAAAGAATGGAAGAATTTTATGTTGAACAGAAAGACTTAGAGAAAAAGTTGGAGCAAGTAATGAAGCAAAAATGTACCTGTGACTCAAATTTAGAAAAAGACAAAGAGGCTGAATATGCAGCACAGGTAAGAATTACTCAAGTGGTGCCCTTTCAACTGGAAATGGAAGCTGTTACTTCTCTAAAGGAATTATTTTTTGTCAAACTCATTGTACTAGGCTAGATTTCAAAATAGATAATTCTTTTAAACACAACTTTATGTTTCTTTGTCCAAGATGATTTTTTGATCTTTATTGCTTTATTAGTTAAAACTTTTATTGGAATTCTATAATTTAGTTACCTAAATTGCTAATCTCTAGCTCTGAATATCAAATCTGATATTATTTTAATGTAATATATGGGCTTTCAGATCTACAATTTAAGAAATGTGAACTGTTGCTTATTATGTTCAGAAGTGCTGGAGCAAAAATAAATGAGCAACTCCCTTTGTTATTAATAGCTTACAATTTAAGGAACATAAATAACTAACATTAGCAGAATATATAGGGCATAATGAAAGTGCTATGTATTATAGGTGTTCATTCCTCTTGATCCTCTGCTTTTCCCTCAATTTAATGTCCTGTCAAGTGTCAAATTAATAATATTAGATATTCAGGGGATTTAGTATATGTGAAATAGTTCATTTTGTAAAGATTAATTTGAAAGTAAGTTTTTGCCATGATAGGAAGATTAAATGAAGAAATGAAACTGAAAACTGACAAAGCCTTTTAAATTACACAGTTGGCAGAACTGAGACAGAGATTGGACCATGCTGAGGCTGATAGGCAAGAACTCCAAGATGAACTCAGACAGGAACGGGAAGCAAGACAGAAGTTAGAGATGATGATAAAGGAGCTAAAGCTGCAAATTTTGAAATCATCAAAGACTGCTAAAGAATAGAAACTGTTAAAGAGACTCATCTGTGTATTATTTACAGGTTTTTGTTTGTTTGTTTGTTGCTTGCTTTGGTAATTGATTTCTGAACAACTTATCTGCATGAAGATAACTAGGCATTCTATCCATTTGTAGATTAGAGAAAGTGAAGAGATTATATATTAGTACATAAATTTTTACATTTTCCAAATGAATGAAAATGTTTGTTTCTTTGTATTTTTTTTTTTAATCAGCTTAGTAACAATACTATATGGTTTCAACTAGTAGATAATCTGCCTATATTTCTAATGCAAACTTAACAATTGTGTACTTTTTAAAAGCTGCAGTATGTGATGGAAAATAGCTGTGGTCAATTTTGTTACCCATATTTCAGACTCAATTTTAGATACAACGTTTGCTTCATATTTCAAATATATAATATAGAGCTACTCAAGGAGTTGAATCTCCATTTTTCTCATTAATACGACTCCTTTGTAAGTTGATATAGTATACTCATTATTATATGCAAAATTTACTTTTACTGTTCAGATTGTGGAATGAATTTCCACCAGTTCTCTTTTTGATGTCTTCTAAGAGGAATTTCATTGAGGTTATAGCACACCCCATGGGCACAGTGGGGAAGGATAACATGCATTGTTAGGCATTGCTGCTAAACACAAGAAGCAGCTGTAATTTGTTTTTCAGTTTAAATGTGGTTATATTTAGAAGTTTTTTTTATACAGCAATTTCAGAAAAATAAAATGTAATAATTTCTAAACTTTTGTTTATGTTGTTAATAGTGGTGTGAAAATATTAATGTTCTTGAGAAAAACTGATAGCATTGATGCACATCAGTTTCTATACAATCTGTAATCCTCCTGTACAGTTTTTATATGTAGTTGTGGGTCTTACTGAAATTTATATAATAGATTTGTTTTCCTTTAAGTTGTAAAATATTAAACACTTTGAAGTTTATTTTGGATTTTTGTATGTTTAAATGTTAAGTCTTACCAAAATTTGCACGAATGGACCATTTTCAATTGCTACTTAATATCAAAATCAGGAATTTACAGTCAACTGTTAGTGTGCGATAGGTGAATATAGAACAGTTTAGTTATCTGGTACTAAAAGCTTTTTAGATAATTTTTAAAAGACAAAGGAATTCCATAGTTTGGGGAGGGGCAACATCTTCTGCACTTTGTTTTTTGCACAGAAAATTCTGTCATTTTCTAATGGCAAATTTCATATTAGTTAATTCTTGGCATAAAAGATAATAGGTAAAATTCTTAGTATGCATTTTTAAAGGACATTTCCTAAAACTATTAATACCATTAATTGATATTATTGCCCCATGAATTTTTGTTTTTCATGTTCTTTAATTAATATAAGGTACTATATGAAATTATTTAGAGAGCTAAATTTATTTTTAAAATAAATTAGCTAGGGTTAAGGTTATATACTATTTCCAGCTTAAAAGGTCAATACTATAATGGTGTAGAACTTTAAAAAATCACTAGGTTATCATTTAGTTATTTTCATATTTTACCCGATGGCACTCACATATCCAAAAAATTTTTGTACTTCACCAAATGTAATTTCTTTACTAAATTGCGTATGATCTAAATGTATATTTTTTATTTTCCATTGAAAAGTTAAAAGTTCCATTTAACTTTTCAATATAGTTAAATTTTATTATATTAACTTGGTGATTTAATTTGTTGATTCTTGGAATCTTCTTGAGGAGGAACAAATATTAAAATGACATGCAGAAAGAAATATTTAAAAATTGACTTACCCCCCCAATGTCATTTATTTAGATCTAGAGAAAGAAAATTCACAGACTAGTTTTAGTTGTGAATTAGTGTGTCACAGCTTAGCTATTTGGGAGACAAACCCAAGCACCTATAATTTCATTTATTTTTCTAATTCACTCAGAACCTTTCAGTTTATATTACTTAGTTAAGTGATGAGCTTAAGTTTCAACCCCAAACTTATAAGTTGCTTAATCTTTGGAATATGTTACTTTAAAATTCTATGTGGTGCTTAAACACCATTAAATTATTATAAAATCATAATTCAGAATTGAGTGAAGAAATATTTTTTGTAGTCCTTACATAGTGAAAATTTGCCACATTGTACAGTCTTCGTTTTCCAGAAGATACTTTGATGTGCCATAGGTTTCTGTCTAACTTCTTTGAGCATAGTATTTTTTAGTCAGTTGTAAATACTATACCTATTATTGTTAAAAGTAACTTTAAACTGCACCACATAGCTTGAAAACAATATAGAGATTTTGTAATATCTTAAAAGTGGCCTCTACTAAAATATCCACGTAACACTTAATTCTTCTGTTCGTTGCATGCTCATTTGGTATGTTGGTTGCTAGCTTAAAGTTTGATTTGGTGTTAGTTTTTGCGTGCCAAATTCACTAGGCAAGAAGATTTTCCCTCGGACTTCATAATATGGTACTTTTAAGGGAAAATATAAAAATGTTTACTCTCAAAAGCTGCATAAAGGAACAGCCTATAAAAAGTTTTGCTAGAGCATCTTTAGAAGGAAGAAGGATAGAGAGTATTAGCTAGCTTGGGTGACGGATGGTAATTGTTTCTATAGTCTAAATTTTATGAAAAAAATGAATTAAAGTTATAAAGTTAGTAAGTGTAAAACCTCCTGCTGTCATTAAGGAAGCTCTTAAACTACCCTAAAATTTTCAAATGCTACTTGTAACACAATGAAAATATTTGACCAACAATTTAATTTTGGCTTATACTTTAGTTTTTGTAAAGCATATACTTGGGCTTGAATTTTTGTGTTCATGGGAGTTAGGGTGTTTTATGCTTCTTGAACTAATTTTATAACATATTTAATATATTACCAGTTAAAATATAAAGTCATCTGTACATGTTGAATTATAAAGCAGTTACTGAAGTAGGTGAAATAGATCGAGTGCTATGATATTTGCAGGTTTTCCATATCTTTTAGAAGTCATGACAAAGCAACCAGTTTATTTGCACATTTGTAGCTTCTGTTTGAAAGAAAGTAAAATGATAAGAAAACTCTAGTAGTGTAAAATATGTCAAAGTATTTCCCTAGAATTAATTTCAAAGGTGGTGCTGATGGATTTTGATCAGCTTCTAGAAATTTCTTCTCAATGCTAAGACTTATGTTTTGATTACTTAGGGAAGAATTGTAATTTTCATTTGCCCTTTATGCATTTAATAAGACATCACAAATTAGTATAATGAAAAATTGTGCTCATACTGTACATCTATTTCTGTGCTTGGAACTACTTGTTAATAGTTTTTATTGAAGCTGTCAGCAATAAGGGACATATAACTGCTGTATTATACATTGTGGAATTGAATAATTTAAACAGAGCTTAAAATTTTTTCTAGTCTAGGATACTTAAGCATTTCCATTATTGGAAGAAAAGCATATGGGTATTTTATATTGCATCTTGTTTAAAAGGACAGGCTTTTTTTTTTTGATAAAATCTTTTCATTTAAATGGTTTCTAAATATATAATGTTATTTGGAGCTTATTTAGTAATAGAATTAAATATCTTATGTAGTACTGCAGTTTTTGAATTAGAAAGTGATATAAAAACAAATTGAAAAATTAAGCCCAGAAAACAAGTGGATTAAATTAGTTTAATATAAAAGAAGTTTATAAGATTTTTTTCTTCAATATAGATACCTCACTTGAAAATAAAGAAAGCACAGCATACTTAACATAGTTCTAGTAAAAATGTCCTACTAAAACATTTGCTAAATGTAGGACATCTTTTGGAGAATTAGAGTTTGTGAGAAATAAAACATACTTGCTTTTGACCATCCTGTTAGAAGTATTTGTTTATCCTGATAATTTTAGGCCAACATAGTAGTCCTTAAATTATTTCTGAATTTCTAATCTGTGAAGCCAGTAAATGAAATATCTATTCTGCAACTGTTAAAACAAATTGTTGACTACATTGACCATAATACAGTTTAAAGTTTTGCCAATGATGTATAGTTTTATGGTTAAAATTGCTGTGGTTGGTTGCATTACATGACACACAAAACTGTCCTCTACCTCACGTGAAATAAATATTTTATATGGTTTTACTAAAAAATAAGACTCATCTATCTGGTCACTTAGTTTACAAATTTTGAATTATATTTATTGAAACATGACATACTGTGCTCTTAGCTTATACCTCAATTGTATTTTGTGCTGTTTTCCATTTTCATGCCATGTAAATAACTTGTATAGATTGATAGATTGTGGATCAAATTCCAAATAAAAACTTTTAATGCCAATGAAATTTGATTGAAATTCATCTCAATATCTCATGTGAGCAAACTTTCTTGTCCTCTAAGATTAGCATTTTCACCTTTTGTTCATTTGAAGTCTATTATTTATTACACACTAACTGATTAACTTGAAAAACCTATTTTATTATAAAATATGAAATTTTATGCAGTATTTCCAATGAAAATACCAGCATTTGTGATTATTCTCTTTCATAATACATGGACTTTTGCTTCCTGGTATAAATTACCTATTACTGTGTAACAAATTACTCCAAAATTTAGCATCTAAAAACAAAAATATTATCTCAGAGTATCTGGGGGTCAGAAATCCAGGAGCAGGTTAGCTTGCTATTTTGGCTCAGGTGCTCTTACAAAGTTGCAGTCCAGATGTTGTTACCCTGGGCTGAAGTTATCTGAGAGCTTGGGCTGAGCTGGAGGATCTGCTTCCTGTTGACCGGCATAGTTCCTCACTATGTGGACCTATCCCTGCAGCTGTTCACAACATTGTGGCTGGCTTACCCCAAATAAGTGATCCAAAAGAAAACGCAATGCTGCAATTTCTTTATAACCTAAATTCTAAGTTGCTCACTGTCAACTTTTGCTTTGTCTTGTCACAGGAGGGGATTACATGAGGGCATGAATACCAGGAGACAGGGATCACTGGGGGCCATCTTAGAGCCTGGCTATGATACCCTCCAAATTTTAATTAAAAAAATTTTTTTGTGGTCAGATGTATATAACAAAATTTACCATTTTAACCATTTTGTACAATTCAGTGACATCTGAGTACATTCACAGTGTTGTGCAAACTATCTGGAAAAGTTATTTCCAGAACTTTTTCATCATCTCAAACTGAAACTGTACCTATTAAATAGTAACTCCCTATTCCCTTCTTAGCAGCACCCTGATAACCTTTCTTCTACTTTCTATGAATTTGCCTATTCTAGGTACCTAAAGGAATCAAAATATTTGTCCTTTGTGTCTGGCTTATTTCATTTAGCATGGTGCTTTCAGTGTACATCCATGTTGTTGCATGTATCAGAATTGCATTCCTTTTTATGGCTAAATCATACTCTATTGGATGATTGTTGGATCGTATGGTAATCCTATATTTAGCTTTTTGAGGAACCGCCTGTTTTCCAGTAAGGCGGCATCATTTTACATTCCCATCAGTAATGCAGGTGGGTTCCAGTTTCTCCACATCCTTGACAATATGTATTTTCCACTTTACTGATAATAGCTATCCCATTGGGTGTGAAGTGTTACTACATTGTGGTTTGGTTTTCATTTCCTCGGTGACTAGTGATGCTGAGCATCTTTTCATGGCGCTTAATGGCCCATTTGTATATCTTTGGAGAACTGTCTATTCAGGTCCTACACCCATTTTTTAAATTGAGTTGTTTTTTGCATAGTTGTAGGAGTTTTTAAAAAGTATATATATTGGATATTAATTCTTTATCAGAATATGATATGCAAACATTTTCTCCCATTCTGAGGTTTCTCTTTTAACTCTTGATAGTGTCCTTTGATGCACAAAAGCTTTAAATTTTGATGAAGTCCAGTTTATCTATTTTTTCCCTTTTGTTGTCTGTACTTTTGGTGTCATATCCAAGAAATCATTGCCAAATTCATTGTCATGAAGATTTTCTCCTATATCATATTGTCTCCTTCTCTTCCTCCTCCTCCTTCTTGTTCTCCTTTGCCTCCTTCACTTCCTCTTCCTTCTCTTTCTCCTCCTTCACTTCCTTCTCTTGTTTCTTCCTTCTTTTTCCTACTTTCTTCTTTCCCTTCTTTTTTCTTCTTTCTCTTTTCTCCTTCCCTTCCTCCTTCCTTCATTTCCTTTTCCTCTCCTCCTCCTGCAGTTACCTGATCATAGCTCACTGCAGCCTTGAACTTTGGGGCTCAAGTGGTCCTCCTGCCTCAGCCACCTGAGTAGCTAGTACAGGTATATTCCACTACACCTGTCTAATTTAAAAATATATATATATATATATTTATTTTATTTTTATTTCAGCATATTATGCAGGTACAAATGTGTAGGTTACTTATATTACCTTTGCCCCACCCAAGTCAGAGCTTCAAGCATGTCCATCTCCCAGAATGCACCCATTAGGTGTGAATATACCCATCCCTTCCTCCCCCCTGCCACCTGCCTGACACCCAATGAAGGTTACTACTATATGTGCACGTAAGTGTTGATCAGTTAATACCAATTTGATGGTGAGTACATTTGGTGCTTGTTTTTCCATTCTTGTGATACTTCACTTAATAGAATGGGCTCCAGCTCTATCCAGGATAATACAAGAAGTGCTAGATCACCATTGTTTTTGTGGCTGAGTAGAACTCCATGGTATACATATACTACATTTTATTAATCCACTCATGTATTGATGCACACTGGCTTGTTTCCACATCTTTGCAATTGTGAATTATGCTGCTAAAAACATTCGAGTGCAAGTATCTTTTTTAATAGAATGTCTTTTTTTCTTTGGGTAGATGCCCATTAATGGGATTGGTGGATCAAATGGTAGTTCTACTTGTAGCTCTTTGAGGTGTCTCCATACTAGTTTTCCATAGAAGTTGTATTAGTTTGCAGTCCCACTAGCAGCATATGAGTAGTTCCTATCTCTCTGCATCCTTGCCAACATTTATTGTTTTGGGACTTTTTGATAAAGGCCATTCTCACTGGAGTTAAATGATATCTCATTGTGGTTTTGATTTGCATTTCTCTGATTATTAGAGATGTTGAGCATTTTTTCATGTTTGTTGGTCATTAATCTATCTTTTGAAAAGTTTCTCTTCATGTCCTTTGTCCACATTTTAATAAGGTTTGAATTTTTCTTGCTGATTTTCCTGAGTTCTATATACATTCTAGTTATCAACCCTTTATTGGATGTGTAGCATGCAAATATTTTCTCCCATTCTGTAGGTTGTCTGTTCTCATGATAGTTTCCTTGGCTTTGCAGAAAATTTTTAATTTGATCAGGTCCCATTTATTTATTTTTATTGTTGCTGTGATTGCCTTTGGGGTCTTCTTCATAAATACTTTGCCCAGGCCTGTGTCTATAACAGTTTTTCCAACATTTTCTTCTAGAATTCTTATAGTTTCATGCCTTAGGTTTAAGTTTGTTATCCACCATGAGTTGATTTTTGTGAGAGTTGAAAAGTATGGATTCTGTTTCAGTCTTCTACATGTGACTATCCAATTTTCCCAGTACCATTTATTGAATAAGGATTCTTTTCCCCCCCCAGTGTATGTTTTTGTCTGCTATGTCAAAGATTAGATGGCTATATGAGGATGGTTTTATATCTGGGTTCTCAGTTCTGTTCCTTTGGTCTATGTCTTTGTTCTTGTGCCAATGACATGCTGTTTTAGTTACTATAGCCTTGTAGTATAGCTTAAAGTCTGGTAAATTGATGCCTCACAATTTGTTCTTTTTGCTTAAGATTGCTTTTGCTATATGGGATGTCTCTGGTTCTATACAAAGCATAGAATTATGTTTTCTAGATCTGCAAAAAAATGATGTTGGTGTTTTAATAGGGATTGCATTGAATCTGTAGATAACTTTGGGTAGTATAGACATTTTAACAATATGGATTCTGCTGACCCATGAACATGGTATGGTTTGCCACCTGTTTACATCCTGTGCTATTTCCTTCCTCAGTGTTTTGTAGTTCTCCCTGTAGAGGTATTTTACCTCCTTAGTTAAATATATTCCTAGGTATTTTATTTTCTTTGCTGCTATTGTGAAGGATATTGAGTCTTTGATTTGGTTCTCAGTGTGACTGTCGTTGGCATATAGGAATACTACAGATTTCTGTACATTGATTTTGTAACCTGAGACTTTGCTGAATTTGTTTATCAATTCTAGTAGTCTCATGGCAGAATCTTCGGAGTTTTCTAGATATAAGATCATATCATCAGCAAAAAAAAAAATAGTTCAACCTCTTCTGCGCCTATTTGGATACCCTTGATTTCCTTCTCTTGTCTGATTGCTCTGGCTAGGACTCCCAGCACTGTGTTGCATAGAAGCAGTGATAAAGGGCAACCTTGTCTGGTTCCAGTTCTAAGTGGGAATGTTTCCAATTTTTCCCCATGCAGTATGATGTTGGCTGTGAGTTTGTCATATATGGCTTGTATCATTTTTAGGTAAGCCCTGTCTATGCATATTTTGTTAAGCATTCTTATGATAAAAGGGTCCTGAATTTTGTTGAATGCTTTTTCTGCTTCTATTGAGAGGATCATATGGTCTCTGTTTTTGCTTCTATTTATGTGGTGAATTACATTTATAGATTTGTGTATGTTGAACCATCCCTGCAGCCCATTTGGTCATGATGGATTATTTTTTTGATAGGCACCTGAATTCAGTCTGCTAGGATTTTGTTGAGAATTTTTGCATCTATATTCATAAGGAATATTGGTCTGTAGTTTTCTTTTTTTGTTGTGTGCTTTCCTGGTTTTGGTATCAGGGTGGTGTTGGCTTCAAAAAATGTGTTGGGGAGGATTTCTTCCTTTTCAACATTCTAGAATAATTTCTGCAGGATAGACACCAGTTCTTCTTTGTAAGTCTGGTAAAATTCAGGTGTGAAACTATCTGGTCTGGGATTTCTCATTTTAGGAAGCATTTTTATTGCTGCTTCAATTTTGGTATTTGATATTGGTCTTGTGAGGAATTCTAATTCTTCCTGATTACGTCTAGGGGGGCTGTGTGTTTCTAAGAATTTGTCCATTTTCTTCACATTTACAAGTTCATGTGTATAGACATTCTTATAGTATTCATACATGATATTTTGTATTTATGTAGTATCAGTTGTAATTTCTCCTTTTTCATTCCTGATGGAGCTTCTTAGAGTCCTTTCTTTTCTGCTTCTCATTAATCTAGCAAGAGGCATATCAATTTTATTAATTTTTTCAAAGAACTGACTTTTTGTTTTATTAATCTTCCATATAGTTTTTTTATTATCGATTTCATTTAGTTCTGTGATGATTTTTATTATTTCTTTTCT